GTGCCTGGTCCGGCGCGCGCCGACCAGGAGGGGGCGCTGCACCTAGCTCCTCGCTAGGTGCGGCCAGGGCTCTCCCCAGCTTTCCAGGGGTCCGCGCTTAGCCTTGCAAACGCGGCGCACGTGACGGGCCCGTCCGCCCTGGCCAGGATTTGACATACCCACCTCTGGGGATTAAGCCCTTCATCCTCTTCCTCTCCGTACCCCTCAACCCGCCCCACCCTTCCAATGAGCACAATTACACGGAAAGAGAAAACCTGGTTCCGTGCACAGATCGCTAAATAAACAAGCAGCACTTCCTAGGCGAAGCTGAGACCCAGAGCGCATTGATTGATAGCCCGGGGTCTGTCTGTTAGGCCTCTGCGCGCTCGGGATTCCTCACCAGTTTGCTCTTAGATTCCCACTTTACGTATTTAGGTTTTAAGGGTCTTTTGTTTGTTCTTTCTATTGCCTGGCAGCCATTCTCCCTGATTAGCTAATAACCTTTCACGATGTTTTCATTGGGGCAAATTTTTAAAATATTTAAAGAAAATGCCAATAATCTACCCAAAGATAACTACTTTTGAATTATAAATGTATTCCAGGTCAGTCTTTTTTTTTTTAAGCGCAAAATACTTTTTTTTCCCCAGAAAATCAGGATCAAACTGTACATGCTAGTTTATGTACTGCTTGCTTTTTATTACTAAAAATGTTGTTCCTCGCCAGGAGTTGTGGCACACTCCTGTAATCCCAATACTCGGGAGGTTGAGAGGGTAGGATCACCAAGAGTTCAAGGCCAGCCATAGCTAAACCCTGCCAGGGATCAAATTCAGGACTTTGCTCTTGCGAGGCAGGTGCAGGTGCCACTGAGCTAAATCCCCGGCCCCACATATATATAGATTTCTTAAGCAAACTAGAATAAAGCAGAACTTCCTAACTTGATAAAAAGCATTACAAAACTTCCATCTAACATCCCAATTAATGGTCAGAAACTAGGAGTTTTCCTGCTAAAATCAGGAGCAATAGATGGATGTCTCTTCCCAGCACTCCTTTCCAGCACCCTATTGGAAGTCCTAGTTCACGAAATTATTTTTTAAATTTTGTATTAGTACACATTTACAATACACAATGAATACATTCATCTTTGGCGGTTGGTAAATGTGTATATCCCATCTTAATACTTTTTATTTACCCTGCCTTTCCCTCTTCCCTCTCTCCACCCCTTTAGAAATTAGACAAGAAAAGGAGTAAAAAAGTGTGCCCATTGTGAAGGAAGAAGCAAAAGAAAAAAGCTCTACTTGTTGGCAGATGACATGATTGTTTATGTAGAATATTTCAAAGGATTGACCAAAAAACCCCTCCTGAAACTAATAAGAAATCACAATAATGTTGAAAAATGTAGGCTGATGTACAAAAATCAACTGCTTTCCTATATGCCAGCAATAACTATTTGGATATTGGAAATATTACTTATGTTGGCAATCCTCAAAAATGAAATATTTAGATATAAATCTAACAAAAATATATAATATCTTTATGAGGAAAATTGTAAAATTCTGATGAAAGAAATCAATAGAGAGGTAGTCCATGTTCATGGATAGAAAGACAAAATATTAAGATGTCAGTTCTTAATTTTGCCTACAGAGTCAATGTATCCCAGTCGTGTGTAGGTTCCACATAGGAGGAAAAGTGTATGATGCTCAGTAGCACAGTAGAATGACCATGATTGACAGTAATTCATTGAATATTTCAAAATAGCTAGAAGAAAAGATTTTGAGTGTTCTCATTTCAAAGAGATAATACATATCTGTATCATCAAATGATGTATTTGCCAGTTACTCTACCTGTAGATATGTATTAAACAGTTGCACTGTGCCCCATAAATATTTACAATTATGGAGTATATTAAATGTTTTTAACTTCAAAATAAATAAAAAATAACAAAAGGCTTATATGGAATGGCAAAAGGAGAAAAACAATCTGAGTGCTATGCTCTCTGACCTGAAGACTCTGTATAACAATTGTAACTAAGACAGAATGGTATTGGTGAAAGAAAATGTCTATAGAGCAATGCAACCAAATCTGGCCACAGATCGATTTACACATGCTGCCAAGTGATCTTTGACAAATGAGCAAAGGAAAAGTTTTTAGAGCCAGGGATCTAGCTCAGCAGTGCTACCACCTGCTTCACAAGCTCAAGGTCCTGAGTTTGATCCCCAGTACAAAAAAAAGAAAAATAATTTTTCCAACAAAAGGTGCTGAAACAACTAGAAATCCACATGCAAATGAATAAACAAATAAATAAATCTTCATGGAGTTCTAACACTCTTCAATAAAACTAACTCAAAATTTATCATAGGCCTAAATGTAAAATATAAAACCTTTAGAAAAGGAACAGAAGAAGAATCTAGATTATATTTGTCAATGACATTTTGTATGTGTATGTGTGTGTGTCAGGGATTGAACTCAGGACCTTGCTCTTGTAAGGCAGACAGTGGAACCACTGAGTTAAAACCCCAGCCCACTGACATTTTAGCTATAACATCGACAGCATAATTCATGAAAAAACATGATGTTCGGAAAGATTAAAATTAGGTGTTTCTGCCTAGCAAAATGCATTGGCAAGGATGACAAGCCAGAAACTGGCAGAACATATCTGCAAAAGACGTATCTTATAGAGGACTATTGTTCTAAATAACAACTCTTAAAACTCAACAATGAGAAAATGAACAACTCAATTAAAAATTAGAAAACCATCTGAACAGGCCTATCACTACAGAATATGAAAAGATGATATACATATGAAAAGCATATGGAAAAAAAGATAATATACATATGAAAAACATATGAAAAGATGCTCCACTTTACACATCATCAGAGAATTGCAACTGAAAACAACAAAGGAACATCGGTACATGACACTGACATGTCATCCACAAGTCCACAGTCTACATTAAGTTTTGCTCTGTGTGTTGTAATTCTGTTTTGACAAACATATCATGATGTGTATCCACCACAATAGTATCTTACAGAGTAGTTTTACTGTCTTAAAAATCCTGAGGTCCTAATATTCATCTTTCTCTCCTCACTAGCCCATGGCAGCTCATGGACATTTTACTACCTCCATAATTTTGCCTATTCCAGAATGTCATATAGTTGGAATCCATAGTATGTAGCCTTTCATGTTGGCTTCTTTTACTTAGTATTATGCATTTAAATTTTCTCCATTTTTTTCCATGGCTTGATCATTTCGTTTTATGATTGAATAATATTCCATTGTATAGATGCACTGAAGTTTGTTTATCTGTTGAAAAACAATTCGGCAATTGTGAATAGAATTGTTACACATACGGTTTTTACAGATTTTTGGGTGGACCTAAGTTTTTAACTTGCTCAGGATGTCTTCAGCTGGTGTAATCTTATCCTGAAGCATCACAGCATCACCGGCCCCGCTGAGGTTTTAGCTGTGACTGGCAGCTAAAATGGAGTTATGTCTCAACCTGCCATAGCTGGCCAGTAGGCAGGAGAACTAGGCTTAATCATGATTTAATTGTGAAAAGATTTTTTTTCCTCAAAATTATGTAGACTTGCTCCCAACGCTCTTAAAACGTTTCCCCAAGCTTTATTAAGGTGTAGTTAGTAAATAAAAATTATATATATCTGCAGTATACACGATGTTTCATGCATTTATATATTGAGAAATGATTAAACTGGCTGATGAACACATCCAACACATCAAATACTTAACTTTTTTGGTGATGAGAATACTTAATATTTAGTGCCTGAGTAATTTTCTAGTTTACAATACGCTCTCACTAACCACAGTCACCATGTTCTTCAGTACATCTAGAGCTCTTACTCAGTCTCACTGAAACTTCCTGCCCTTTGACACGGGTCTTTCAATTCCTGCCCCAATCCTCATCCACTGGCAACTACATCCTACTCTCTGTGTCTATGAATTTAATTTTTTCTAGATTAAATGAGAAAATGCAGAATTTGTCAGTCATGCTTTCTTGCTTATTTGCATGTCTAATCATTTTATTGTATTGTATTCATTTTTATTTGAAACACTGTAGAGCCTTTAGAGCATTATGTCCCTGATTAGGAAAGCTTTTCCTCTTCTTCTATTAGGCAGATAAAGGAAGAATAGATTGCTGTAACCCATGGAGTTTGGTTGCAGTTTTAGGATGATTCTACTACTATTTTGTTTTCCCCCTAGGGTGTAGTCCTCTC